CAGGCAGAAAGAACAGTAAAAATGCAGGCAGGGCACAGGACAAAGCACTCGGGACAAAATGTATGTGAAATGGTTTGATACAGTAATGTTTTACTATGTGATTTTAGTGTATTTAGTGAATGTCACTTTTTGACATTTTCAAATTTTGCGCCGTTCCGTCCCTGACGTCACAGGGGATGGAACCCAGAAGACAGATGCCGGCATCTGCTGGAGGACATTGCCAGGGACACTGCAGGAGGGACATCGCAGGAGCGCAGGACACAGTAAGAGAAGAACAGATCCCGGAGCAGCGCCACATGGTAAGCCCGAGTGTAGCTCGGGGTTACCGCTTGTGGTGTTGAAACTTTACCCTGAGCTACACTCGGGAATACCGCCAGGGAGGCTATGGTCTCATGTGCACAGGGCGTTTTTACAGCAAATTTTAAGAGCAGCAGGCATTTTTCTTTACTGCTTCTAAATTGCCCCCCCCATGTTATCCTATGTGTCAATGCACACATAGGCTTTTAGGAACTTTTAGTAGCAGTAGCATTTACCAACAGGAAAAAACCTAGGGTCAGAGCATCCAGGAGCAGCAGCATTGTGGCAGAAAAAATGCTTGATGCATCTAAACGCGTCTAAACGTGCCTAAATGCTTGTTAATGCTTGAGTGTTAATTAATTTCAATGGCCAGAATAAATTATTATTCTGGCTAATTAAATGAATTAACACCCAAGAGCTTGATTCTTGTAAACACGCCTAAACGCTTATAAAAGCGTTAGATACTTTTACAAGCGGCAGGTGTTTTTTTTTTCTGCAAAAACGCTGCTGCCAGGAGGAAGGCTTCCTGTGTGCATGAGGCCTAAAAGTGTTAGTCAAGTCCGTCTATGTTTGCTATTGCATCTAACACTAACCTCTCCCCATATTGACAATATTGCTCTCCAGGTGTCCCCATTGCTCCTTCATAGAGTGGAGACACCCTAAGATGGGGAGTGTGTGACCGGCTGGACTACCAGATAAAAATAAAGGAAAAAAGCCTACATTAGAAAATGAAAGCAGACGCCACATTTATGGATTGGTAAGCTGAAATTATATACAAAATTAGTTTTTTGGGTTTAGAGACGCTTTAAAGTTTTTGTAAAGACAGAAGGTTTTTACCTTAATGCATGTTTTGAATTAAGGTAAAAAACATTCTGTGTGAAGCTCTCTCCCAGACCCCCTAACACTTACCTGAGATCATCTTGATCCAGCACTGTGCCCAAGAGCAGCAGCTCTCTTGTCTCTCCCTCCTCACAGGGCAGACTGATAGCAGCGGGACCCATTGGCTCCTGCTGCTGTCAATCACATCCTGTGATAAGGGGGTGAGGGGCGGGGCTAAGCAGAGCCACGCTGTCAGTGTCTATGGATACAGGCAGTGTGGCTCAGGGTCGAACCCGCAGGTATGTCCCTGGCGCTAGCATCTTCACTGTGGGTACCTAGCTGTGACAGCTTGCGGCTTCACAGCCGGATGCACACTGCGCATGCACGAGTAGCGCTGTGCTTTATGAATGGTCCCGTAGTCTTCTGGGACCTGTCATGTGTCGCAGAAGACAATGGGGAGGGAGGGGGAGGAGGGAAGTGGGAGTGGGTACCTGTCAAATTAAAAAAAACCTTGCATGCTGTTACACTACTGGTGACATCAGTCAATTAAGTTTGAACCCGTGCTGGTAGCATGCACTATGATAGTTTTTTTTAATGAGAAACAATAGAAATCTGTCAGTCTCTACTTTTTTTCTACCCAAAAAAAAGTTCTGGCATAAGTTCTATTTTAAACATGATACTTCTAAGATGTAATAAACTCTTTATTGCTGAAGAACCAAATTCGAAATGTATCTCCTCTGCCTACTCTTCAAACATTTGTTTAGTACATGTTGTCACGCCTACTCCTAGTGTAGGTGGCCAGGCATTATAGCTGGCTCTATGTTCTTTACCTATAGGCAGCTCTCTTTACCATAAAGCAGGTAGGCCTATCGGTACTCGGTTGCCCCCAGGTCTTATACACGTCGATGTTATAGTAGTGCCTGACCACCACACCAGGACGGGTGTGAGCTAAGCACAGCAAACAGGTACTTGCAGTTGGCAAACAGGCAGATTGGTCTAAAGGCAGTCTGGATTTAGGGCAGGCAACATTCAGAGAGTAGTCAGGGTCAAATCCATATAGAAAAGGCAGGGAGAGCTGTCTAAAGGCAGTCCAGAGTCAGGGCAGACAACGTTAAGAGAGTAGTCAGAGTCAAATCTATAATAAAAAAGCAGGCAGAGTTCAGAGAGTAGTCCAAAGTCCAATCCAAGGTCAATAACAAGGAAATCCAAACTAGCTGGCAGGGTGGGGATTGGGAGAAGATAAAGATCAAGGCACGAGAACAAGTCAGGTAAAAAGGGAGCTTGAAGCATGTGTTGCAAACACTATCACAAGCATGACACTAAGGGCTTGGCAGGCCTAAAATAGGTTTGGATTCCACCCAGAGGCTGTGTCTACATCAACCACCCTGCAGGAGGACAGTCAGACAGGGAAACCGCAGCTCAGCCAAAACTGAGATGCTGGAATGAGACCAGCAGCTGCCATGGAACAGGAGCGTTACACGTTCATGTGCCCTTTGTAATTGACCTTGCTCCTATCCATGCAGGGGACTGCATTGCCCCCTTTTTTCTCCCAACCTACCTGTTTAAGCTTCAAGGTGGTCTGGTGGTAGCTTACACAGGGCAAATTACTTTCTCCCAGCCCCCATGGGATTTGCTGCTCTGGCATCCATGGGAGGAAGGGACGAGAATATAATTTTCCTCCATACATGGAAGTATTGGGTATTTCATGGTGGGAGAACAGAACGGCAGCAAGTGAAGGGAAGGTGAGTATAAGCAGGAGGGTTGGGGCAGCTGTCAAAGCAGTTGTCTTTCCCTAGCTTGAGCAAAGCAGGCATTCACTTTAATCACTTCAAAAGTAATTGACTTCATTCAACAAGATGCTTTGAACACAAACAACCACAGTCTTTAAACTGGAAGCCCTCCATAAACAATACACTCACTCTCATTACTTTGAACACAAAATCCCCAACACAAAGTTCTCTGCTAATTATATCTCGCTGTTCTATGTCATATATTTTGTTTGTTGCTAATAATTTACCTTCTCAGCCTTCTGTTCAAAAGACCTGCGAATACAAAATTTCCATTTTCCTTTGACAAAATAGCTGCAGTTACATTGCCCATTAGCAGTAAATTGTTTGCCTGCCTCCTCACTCTTTTGGGTGCCGGGGCTTAGGCTTTATGAAATAAAAAATGGAAATGGGAGCATGCCATTATAAATAATGTCCAAAAATAGAACCTATACAAACACATTTAAATATATTTACATTTGTTCAAAATGCCAATTAGATGTTTTACAGGTTGGGCCACATGAAAAAGTTAGTTTTGGGTGTAGACAAGATAAATGCTCTAGCTCTTAGCTTTTTTCTGGGTAACAGGGATTCACCAGTGCTTGGGAAGGCTCCTTTCAGCTCATACACATTCTAACAATAAATAAGCATAACTTATTCAAAACATGCAAAACCTTAGCAGAACAGCTAACGCATTTCAGCCTATGAAGAGACCTTAGTCATAGCTAACTACCGATAATCCACAGTGATTAAAATACCCCTCACCACCCACAGGTGGGTGGAGTAGTAACCATCAACTGAAATATCTTAAAACCATTGCTATTCAAAATGACAACATATAAAATGCAGCAAATGGATACAATTAAGATACAAATACAATGTTACATAATTTTACATCATAGCAAACACAAGATGTAAATTGACATTCCAGCGGTGAATCAAACCAGAAGGCATCCTGGAATGCAAACTAAAAACCTTTTCTACCTCACTTTCTAGCAGGCTGTGGCATAGACCACCACATCGTCTCAACTCCAGGAAAGGAGAATGAAAGCATGTCTCCCTAATAGTGATGGGCTGAGCACCCCCGTTCAGTTCGGGGTTGAACATTTGAACCTAACAAAAGTTTGACCACGAACTTTGAACAAAGGAGACAATTTGATTTGCGGTATCTTACTGAGTATGCGGTAACATACCACACAGCTACTAAAAGCATTCTTTGAGGGGAACGCCCATGCCAAAATTTTATTTAAAATTGTGTGGTGGTCCCCCCCAAAATCCATACCAGACCCTTATCGGAGCATGCAGCACGGCAGGTCAGGAAAGGGGGGGGGGGTGAGCAAGCAGCTCCCCCTCCTGAACCATACCAGGCCACATGCCCTCAACATAGGGGGTTGCTCCCCCCCCCAAACACCTTGTCTTCATGTTGATGACGACAAGGGCCTCTTCCCCACAACCATGCCCAGTGGTTGTGGGGGTCTGCTGGGGGCTTATCAGAATCTGGAAGCCTATCAGAATCTGGAAACCCCCTTTAACAAGGGGGCCCCCAGATCTCACCTCCGCATGTGAAGGAGTATGAGGTACATGGTACTGCTACTCATTCACAAAAAAAAGTGCAGTGTAAAAAATGACAGTAGACAGTCTTTGACAAGTCACCCTACCCTACATAAAGCAGTTAGCATACTGAACAAGAGATAGACAAAAACAACATTACATTTATTGCCACTTATAAATTGCCTAATGAGGAAGCTTTCCGCCAAAACCATAAAATGAACCTCCATAGTCCTCGTATACACCCTGCATACCTACAAGACCCCACAGTGGATATACACGTTTTCCTAGTCACTTCAAACTCAAAAATACAACATGACAACATAGAACCTAAAGTAAGGGCTCTACTGCTAGAAAATCTGAATTCATTTTCTAATTTATGATAAAAACCTGTATATAACTGCACGGAGAAGCACAGGATCTAGTGGAGGAGTTCTGTCCACCTGTCTGCTGCCGACTGCTGAGACAAGGTGCAGGCAAAGATGAGGAGGTGCCGCAGCTGCAGGAGAGGTGTGAGGGCCACATGCAATGGCCTGGAGGGTCAATTCCCGAGTGTAGCTCGGGGTTAACTTTCAGTACCAGAAGCGGTATCCCCCGAGCTACACTCAGGAATACACAGCTGGGATCCCTCCAGCACTTACCTTGTCTTACGCTCCCGCGATGTCCCCCCTGCAGCGTCCCCAGCCATGTCCTCCGACCGATTCCGGCATCTGTCTTACGGGTTCCGTTCCCTGCGAGCATCGGGACGTACGGGGGACGGAACCGGCGGGAAATTCAAAAATGTAAAAATTTGACATTCACTCAATACACTAAAATCTGATAGGATTACATTACTGTATCAAACCATTTCACATACATTTTGTCCCGAGTGCTTTGTCCTGTCCCCTGCCTGCATTTGTACCGTTCTTTCTGCCTGGAAACTGAGAAACATCCATGCCGTCCAAAAAGCGTCCCTTTAGGTCAAAATCGGTTTTAGACCAGCTAGAGAACAGCGATAGTAAATCAGAACCACTTGCAGAATTGAGTGATAATGATTCGTGGGGAAACTCATCATCAGACACTGAAAAAGATTTTGCGACTAAGCTCAGTGATGTGTGAACTTGGCGCTCTATTTAAAATTTCAGTGTTTTTAATTTGATTATATTATTGAATTAAATTTATTATTATTATATTATTATTTTTTATGATTATTTATTATAATATAATTTATGATTTCGTGTTTCAAATTTTATCATACCCGGGATGTTTACTACACTCTTGTTCGGACAGATTTCAGTGAGTTATTCTTAAGAATTACAGGACTACAATAAAAAAAATACATATTTCCATTGAAAACAATGTACCGCTTTGTGCACAGAAATACTGACATAATCAGACCGCTAGGGAGGTTAAAGTAGCAAAATTGTTCGAGTAAAGAAGGGTTATAACCCATGAAAGAATTATTTTTTGCCATCTGTGTTCTATTGGCAAAATGTCTGTTTACTTCCTGTCCCAAAGTCAAAACAGGAAGTGATAGGAAATCCTTCCAAAGTAAAGGAATCCCTGGTTGTCACCAGGGTCACCAGATCTAGTGTCCTCATTGGAAGATTTCCTATTACTGTTCTGGGGACAATCTGGGTTTTTCTTTTACTTTCACTTTCGTCATAAAGGTAAACGGGACAAATATGGAATGTGACCTTCCCTAACAGGGACACAAACGGCAATAAAAACAAGCATGTTCTAATCCCTCTCTACTCTATCCAAAACATAAAAAATTTTGCCTTTAGTTATACTTTCATGAACATGATGGGCTTGGTTTACTGAAGACAAATAGGCTGTGCACTTTGCAAGGGAATTTTCCCTGAGCTTAGTGAATGTGGTAAAATTTACTTGCAAAGACTACCCAAGCACGAGCAAAGACTGTTACAACTTAGCCTGCAGTTCCCTGTTTGTGTTCTTACCTCCTTGCTGCAGTGCTGTTCCTGATCCCTTTCACATGTGTGGTTTGTCTGTGCTCACCTATGGGCTTCGTCTGCTTTTCTCTGGGCTTTATTTCCTTCCCTTCCATCACTTCCTGGCCCGCCTCCTTGTTTGCCTGCCTATATAAGACATGTCAGTCTAGGCCACTTTGCCTGAGCAACTTCCTAGTTGTCTGAGCTCCTGTACGTTGCTATCTCATGTATCGACTACTTGTGTACTGACCCGGCTTCATTCTCTGACTGTGCTTGTTTTCTGCCTGTTCTGACCTCGGCTAGTCTATCGGAGTTCCGTTTGTCTCCTCCCATTGTACTCTGCTTCCGTGAGCGATCTCCTCATCCTCAGCTGGGCGTACCTGGGGGCCGTGACCTGGTCCCAGCTTGCTGCAAGTCCATCCCCACCATCAGGGGCTCTGGTGAAGTAGCAGGCTGGGGCTTAGACTCCACACCCTGGGGAACCCCAAGTTGAGTATCTACAAGGGCTCACTACCACAGGTGCTGACAAACACAATACAAAAATCAGTATTTGCTTTTTGATTGATGGGAGTCAGGAGAGCTTCATTAAACTGAAACTGTGTACACACGGGCATAAAAATCATCCAGACTCGGCCCATGCTTTACCCTGTTCTTTTCGGCCAATGTGGACAGCTGTCTTTTTACGAAGCCAGTCTCACGACCAGCATCTGTGAAATGGGCATGCTGGAAAACCAGCACCTGGACAGCCAATGGCTGCCAGCACTGATCAATGTATTCTGCTAGAGGGGCAGTCTGCCCATCAGAGCACAAAAGGCACAGCGGGGGAAATCAGCGCACTGATATTCCTTGTGTTAGTATGGCAAGCTCAGTTTTTTTCATTCAGCTTGCTGTGATGAATGAAAAAAACTAGTGTGTACCAAGCTTATGAGAAAGCTAACTGAACAGCCTATCTGCCTTTCATAAATCAACCTCAAAGTATGTGAAGGATGTTATTTAACAATGGTCATGGTATAGCTAGCATTAGTTCAACTGGACTTGTTGAAAAGCAATAAGGGCAACATAGTCACCTTATCCCAATCACTATGGAACGTGTCAAGGCAGATGTTAATTGTTCAGGAACATGATGGTAGGGGTGAGAGCTTGTGAAACCACTCTGTTATAATTACATAATTCAATCACCATGGTGCCATGAAGTCTGGAACAGGTGTTACATAGCTAGGTGAAAATTGTTGTCTAGTCACTGGGGTAAAAGTACTAAAATGTCATTATATGTGGATAAAAGATGGTGTTGAAGGCCCTTACCCCTGTTTTGGAATGACTATTCCAGTATAATGTAGATGACCTCTTTAAAATCTCTTTCAACAACTGGTTTACAAGAGGTGAGGAAGCTTTTTGGATGAGAGTCAAAACATCTTCAGTCCAGTGACTAACTACAACTAGCTATTATTAGATGCTTTTGCAAAGATCTCTGCATTTAGGCATTGTTTTTAGTCTGATTGTCTTTGGTGAAGTGACAGGTACTTAATAGTTTATTTACAATTTGTATAGTTCCAACAGTTCTTGCAGTACTTTACATATATATTGTACATTCAGATCAGTCCCTGGCGTCAAGGAGCTTACAATCTAAGGTCCCTAACTCGCATTCATACATACACATACTAGGGCCAATTGACTTACCAGCATGTTTTTGGAGTGTGGGAGCAGTGGTGTATTTAGGTTTTGTGCTACCCTAGGCAACACCAAAGACATCTGCCCCCATGGACACTGATCAACACTACCACCCCCCTTCATACCTCCCGCGGAGAGAGCCTGACATTGGCCAACAACACTCATGCCCTCCACCTGAGAGAGCCTTCCACTACCTCCCCTGCTGGCGATGGAGAGAAAGACACTCACCTTCACAGCTCCGAACATCCCCAGGAACGAGAGTCAGGTTCTACATACACCATCAAGCAGCCAGCAGCCTCTCTCGGATCCCACCTGGCCTCCTGTTGTGTGCGTGTCCCTTCTTTCATCCCTTCTTCTGGGGGGGGGGAGTGCTGCCCTCCGAAAAATCCCCTGTGTGGGAGAAAACCCTCACAAGCACAGGGAGAACATGCAAACTGCAGGAAGGTAGCATGGTGGTTGGGATTAAAACTGACTCAAAAACTGATGACCCCAATGCTACAGGTAGAAGTGATAACCACTATACCACTGTGCTCCTATTCCTTCAGAAACAGTGTTTCTTAAATTATGGGTTGGGCCCCAGACTGTGTTGTGGACATGTTTGGGATAGGTTGCCAAATCATGAAATCAGAAGATTCTTGGGTCCCAGTACAGTAACAATTTTCGGATTTAGGTACTAATGTTAAAAAGTTGAAGAACCCCTGTTATAAAAAAAAAAAAGGAAACTGCAACACCTACAGGGTCTTACTTTATTGCCTGGTTGTCTGCATTAACATTAGTATTACATAAAATGTTGCTGTACAGTTCACGCTTGTTCTTTTTACATTATACTCAAAGAGAATGCAGTTTGTTTTAAACCAGGCCAACAAAATGATACCCAGCACATCAAACAGCACCAGGATCGTAAAACTTTACTGATAATACAAAAATCCACAGTAAAACATGGAACATACTAATATTTTTCTGTAGAGTCGAATAGCTCAGCTCAGACCTTTAAGATTAACTTTAAAAATATTTCAGTTACTAAACTTACAACAGATAATGCGTACCTCCTCACTTGTTTTCAATGGTAAAGAGTGACACATTCTATTACAAACAACATAAGCAGGGGCCGCACTCTGTATTGCCCCCATTACACAGACCATGAAGAATCAAACCAGCTTTTGCTCTTTTTTTTATTCACTACCTTACCTTATATTGGCATTTGAAAATAACAAATGCAATAATTTAGTGTTTGAATAAAAAATGTAGTGCAGTAAAACACTTTTGATAGTTTAATAATACATTTTGATAGAGATCTATACATCAGACCAAAAAAGGGATAGCTGAGGAAAAGAGAGGATCAGAGGGCCTTTGTCCCAATAGAGGCACAGTCCCTCCAAATGAGGAACAGTTGGAAATGGGTAAAATATGTCTTGTCTGTATTAGTTCTGCTATATTTTTTTTAGGCGTCACAGGACAAATGTCCCCCCACGGGGGAGCTGATACATGTTGAGGAGTGCTCCTGCCCAGTTTCTAATTTTTAAATTCTTCCAACTATATATAGGGTGAGATTTCCGCATAGCCAACCCAGACTGCGGTCTAGGGCACCGGGACTGCCAGGGGTGGAACAAAGCCACCCTAACATCATGTTGCTGAGTGTAACGCATCACCACGCATATTAAAGGGTTTCAGACTGCCACCATGCTTATCTGTTTATTCATATGGGTCCTCATGCTTTTTTGTTGGTGGATGATTGTGTACTTCAGTTCACCCTCTCTGCGTCCACAAATTAAAAAACTGAACATATAGAATAGCATTAACTACATTTAAAAAATAAAAGATCAAGGGTGCTTGTTTTATGCCAACACATATTTAATTATTTATAATATAACACACATAACCTTGTTTGTATCAAACTTTTAAGTTAATATATAATATTACATACAGAAAATATTCAGAGCTTGTCAAAACACACAAAATGCTGGGAAATGTTCAAAGTTGTATTTGCATCTGTCCAGTTTCTGTAAAGGAGTGTATAAAAAAGTATCCTAAAGCGTAACTAAAGTCTGGAAGCAAAAAACTGCTATGAGGTAGAGTTTTCTGGTAGAAGAGACGTGCAAAATCTCTTTTGCCCTAAACTTCATCTTGCTCCTAGCAATTTGTTGGAAATAAGGATGGAACCAGCACAATGTAACTCCTGTACTCATAAAAGGCCTAAAACAATATAAGGCAAAGGGGTCACATGACAGGGGTAAAGGGGTGCCAGAAAGTTATCGGCTAAGTGTATAAGTGAACAGAGGCAGTGTTTTTTTCCAGGTTGGTGAAGGATTCTTA